ATTAGATGCATGCAAACGACTGCACGTCCTGTTATGCAGTGTACAGAAATCATGTAAGAATGCCTTGTTTAACCGTTTAAAGCCCAGTTATATCAAATATTTTAGCATGCCAAATTCTGTATTCTGCCCACAAAGTGTATTCATATGTTTCGCGTTGTTTTCACAGTAATCGTGGATTGTTTCCTCGGACCGGTCGAACTTTGTAGCAGAGTCGTAACATGTTTCCCGTGAGGTAGGAACTGCATCTTTATGTCTTTAGAAGAAATAAAATCTTTAAATGTGCAAGGCACATGCGTCTATCTGTCACTCTGAAATGTAAGAATGTATAAAAGAAGTTCATAAACATGGGCTTACATTATATACATTACAAATACATTGTATTTCAGCATCCTGTTGCACTGTGACATCATTTTTAGATCGCAGGTATGTCTATAATGCAAAAATAACCTTATATAAAAGACACTAAAATATATTTAATATACTAAAAGTACTTGTTAAATACTTTAAAATGTCATTGAACTTATATATTCAATCCTTGTTGCAACATGTTTCGCCCACACATGGACCATCATTAGGCAACATTTTTTTGTTATTGGGGAGACAACTGCACTGTACACTTTGTCTTCTGTGCCCTTAAGCACATCGTTGTAATGTAAGAAGAGGCAGCAAGTTCCTTCGCAACCCTAGCATCTGCTTACTGAACTATCCAGCGTTGGCTGGACATAGAAGAGAAATATATTTCGCTGCGTGGTAAAGGCCTCAGTCAACTTGGTTCTGGCTCTAGCATTTGGTCATGGCATTTACAGGGCAGCAAGAAGAACATGGTTGCACGATGGAGTACGAATACCAGACTACACGGTGCCACATCTCCTAACCTTACTCCTCAACCTGTTCGAAACAAACTCGCGATGTTGCTGGCTGTGTGATTACTTCGTAGTCAGAAAGTGACCGGATCGATTCTCCGTTGGTATCAATTACCCTGCCAGAATTTCTCCACTCTCCTCGGTCCTCTCAGGTAGATATTCAAACAGGACCCTGTAAATAGGCAGCGACTACTCGCAATCCGCCAATCATAATCGTCAAGTCATTAGCCATCGGAACTATAGGCTTATAGTCCATACGAGCACGCTTTGGCAAGGCGTTGTTAAATAAGGCGAAAAATATTCCTTCCCGAACTACTTCTGTCGAGAAAGATATTTGTGTTGAAGTTAAAAGATTTGCTTGATTTCAAAGTGTAAAATAAGTATATATAAGTCCTAGAAGGTTTTAAGTTTCAGTAATTTTAAATAGAAATTCTTGTTTTGCTCATGAATTACAGGTTTTTTTTAGACTCTGCAGGCCTGAAAAAATATATTTAACCTTCAAACAATCAAGTTGTTTATAAAGAAGATTCATTTATTAAAGCGCTTCGGTCGATGGTGTTAGCCACATCTTTGAAAGGTCGAGCCAAACCAAACATTGCCCAGCAGAAGAAATGGCCAAAAGCTACAGGGCCTGTTCCGCACAAAACATTCTCTCGGTTTAATATTATTTATTTTTATTGTTATAGTTATTAATATAATCCATAATGAGACGTGTAAATGTTTTTTTACGAAACTTGATATACCGTAATTTTCTTATGGCACTGTTAGAATTAAACGTTTATAATTAATAATTGCGTCGTGGAAAGGTTTCCTTGAGAAGCTAACAGTCTCTCAGTTGGTCCAGAAATTACTGGCCTTTCATGGAACTGCAGGGTGCTTTACCGAATTCACAAGAATGCACTATTCGAGCCCTTTTTAGAATAGTCCATAAATTCACATCACATTTCTTTAAAATTCATTTTAATATTATACTCCCATTATTTTAAGGTCTTCAAAAGTGTTCCTCTTTCATTTTCGCTGTCCAAAACTTTGTAAATATTAATATTTCTCTTTTCTCTCGTTTGTGTTTCATACACAAACCATCTTATTTTCCTTCATTTTATCATTCAAATAACATTAGGTGAAGAGCCGGAATTGCTCAGTCGGTATAGCGACGGTTTACGAGCTAGGCGCCCGGGTTCGATTGCTGGTAATGAAGATTTTTGTCTTCTCCACCTCGTCTAGTCCGGCTCTGGGGCCAACCTAACCTCCTATCCAATGGGTGCCGGGAGTAAAGCGGCAAGGGAGTGAAGCTGACCACTCATCCCCATCTATTGCCGAGATCAAGAATGGTGGAACGTTACCTCCACTCCCCCATATGTCTCCATGGCATAGTTCTTAAGTAATTAATCACAGGGACACCTTTACCTTTACCTGTAATATTAGGCGAAATGTACAAATTGTGAAGTTACTACTTAGGATTTCTGGTCCTCACATCGGTGGTTATGAAGAGTTCTATTTTCTGGGGCATGACGCCGTCCAGTCCGTTGGCAGTGAGCCGACGTGTATTCTCAGAGAACTGGACGAAGCTACATCCCGGAATATGAAGCTCCTCTTTATGGAATTTAATTCGTAGATAAGCCTTTGTTACATGATGACTTGCCGTTACACCGGACTTTCACTGTCTCCTGATTGTGAGTTCTGAGTTCGACATGTCCCACAATATATTAAGGTGGCTATTTAACGACGCTGTCTGTATCGAGACTGTGCAGCATCCAATGGCAATTTTAGCATGTGTAAATCCCATATACTGTATATATCATGACATGCATCAGTCTCCTGAAGAGGAAGGCACCAACTTCCTCCGAAACAGTGGTAATCACATGCAAGACTGCATACCAAACCAAAATCTTCGCTGCCATAATAACCTATAATACAACTTCGATGTATATATTAATAATACTCATAGTAGGAATAATAAAAGGTAACGATAAAGTTATCCCAGCGCTTAATTAGTTAAGCACTGTGTCATGCAAACGTATGGGGAAGTGTACGTATAGCTCCACCATTCTTGGCTCTGACACTAGATGGAGGTGAGTGGCAAGCTTCACGCCCTGACCGCTTTAACCCCAGGGAAATTGTCCCGTTACCCATTGGATAGCAGGCTGCGTAGGTCCCAGAACCAATGTGGACGTTATGGAGAAGAGAAAAACTTTCTCCTACAGGGACTCGAACCCCAGTCGTCTCTATACGGGCTAATCTATCTGACTCGGTAAGAATAATAATTTATTTATTGTTCTTATTATGATATGTTTGGGGCGGTGATTTTTCTTTTTACCACCACATGCATGCCGGCTGCCGGAGCCAGTCAGTCGGTTATGCAGTTGGTACTGAGTATCCTTTCTTTGGAATAAAGCGACCGGGACGTGAAGCTAAGAGTCACCTTCATATAGTGTGTGCAGTATATCTCCATTCCCTCTATACGTCTTCATGTTATGATGACTGACGTACACACAAAAATCATTATTTCAAATAGATGATAACTTTATATAGACAACGATGACAATATTACTCTTCGGAAAAACGTGAAGGGAATTTCCTATCTCTGTTTCCTATACACTTGTTTGTCAAATGTATCAATTTGAAATCCATCCATGATAAATGGGCCCCTTGTCACGATAGCATGGCAAGGACTTTTGTACTCTCATTAAAGGCCGAAAATTACTTTACTAATAACTGTTTCTGAATAACAAATTTACTTCGAGTTCCTTAAAATACATCCGTAGCAATGAGATTTTTGTGAATCTAAGAGAAACAAAAAGGGCACGCGGTAGCGTAGTTGGTTGAGGGGACTACGCTACAAGCCGGAAGGTCGCGGGTTCAGGTCCCGATACGGTCATTGGATTTTTTCAATTGACCTAATCCTTCCGGCCGCACTTTGGCCCTGGGGTCGACACAGCCTCTAACACAAATGAGAACCAGGAATATTCTTTGGGGTAAAGGGCGGCCGGCATGTAAGGCTGACAATCGTACCGCCATCTGTGAACCGATTGTCTAGAACATGTGGAAACCTCAACATTTCACAACCCTATGGGCCTCCACGGCCTGTTACAGGGATACCTTTATTTTTTTTTACTTGTAATCCTTCCAGCCGCACTAGGCCCTGGGGTTTACTTAGCCTCTAACAGAAATGAGTACCAGGAATTAATTAAATAATTTTCCTGGGGAGTAAAGCGCGGCCGGCGCGTAAGGCTGACAACCTTACCGCCGTCTTTGAGCCGATTGTCTAGATAGTGTGGGACCCTCAACGTCTCACAACCCTATGGGCCTTCACGGCCTGGTACAGGGATAGCTTTACTTTTTTACTTACTTACTTTTTTAAGAGAGAGAAAATAAAACAGAGAAAGCTGCAGAGGGAGAGACAAGTACCTCTGGCTTGGAATGCAGAAGATAACGAAAGGTTTCTGATATTTTAGTAGGTAAACATTTTGAAAGCATCCTATTATAACTCGGAGAATGAGACAAGAAGATAATATTAAGTTTATTATTAATGATAGGCCTGAAGACTGTGAGTAGTTCTGCAGAATGGAATTGAATCAGGAGCCTGTCCATTGAGGGGTTAAGTTTTAGTTGTGCTGAATCTTTGGGTTTTGCCATCACAGTTAGATATGTCTATCGATCTAGGGGCCAATCGACATGCACACTTTGCAAAAGAATATTAATTTCTTGAACAACAAGGAAGTAAGGACTGGGAGGTGTGACATCGGTGACTGCTGTGTCAGAGATCATATGCTTTATTCTCACCGATGGACCGTGAAAAGTGTAGATGGATTGGGGTTTCAGACACAAGAAATGGATTTGATTTGAAAGCGTGAAACTGATGCTTGGTGGTAAGACTTGCTCTTAAAGTGTGATGATGTAATGGAGTCGTGTGAGGGGAATTATAGCAAGTTGGTGAATGGTTTGTGGTGCATGCCAACAAAATAGGCGGAAACAACGGATTACATCTGTAACATCAGTAAAAACACGTATGAAAGCTCATTTTCCCCGGATTGCATTAGTATAAGAAATATTATTTCTGACCTGCCATATAAATAGTGCACCGGCAGTAACCAGTTAGTACATCTGGAACACTGAGATCCTTCAGTGTATAGGAGAATGGGTTGTGTGCGGCGGGGATGGGTCTCCTGTCTTCTGTGGGCACTATGGCTCCTGGAGTCTTCCATGGCCCTTCAACCTGCAGAGGTTGTAGAATCCAAACAGCTCCTGCAGGAAGACAACAAGACAGCGGTCAGTAGCGCGTCAGATAACCTCCAAAAGTTAACACCCACCGATCTCCTGAATTCAGCGTCAGGATACCATGTTAGTAGCCACTGGAGTGGTCACCACGGTGGGGGTGGCGGTTACGGCGGCGGTGGACACGGAGGAGGTGGCGGTGGACATCACGGAAGTGGAGGCGGGGCTTCTCACCACTCTGACCATCACTCAGGCCACGGTAGTGAAGGTGACAAAGGCTACAAGGGACATCATGGCCACGAAAAGGGATCGAAGGGGTATCACGACAAAGGAGGTCACAGTGGCCATTACAGTGATCACGGAGGCCACAGGAAGGGCCACCACGATGTAGGGGGTTATTATGGAGAGCACCATCATGGAGAAGAGGGCGGGAAAGGGCACAAATATGGCGAGGGCGGAGGGCACAAGAAAGGACATAGCATCAAGGGACATCACGCAGTTCACAAGAAGGACGAGTACAAGAAGAACCACGAGTTTTACGACGAACACCACGGTGGGGGACACCACAGCAAGCATGGAGGTCACGAGAGCCACCACGAAAATAAGGGCGGAGGTCATCACAAAGCAGGCCATCACAAGTCAGGATATCACGATGACCATCACGGGAAGAAGGGCCACTACGGTAAAGACCACTACCATGAAGGTCACAAGGGCTACAAAGGATCACATGGACACGGCAGTCACTATGGCCACCACGCGGAGCATGGCAGCAAGGGTGGCTCCTCTGGCGGATCCAGCCACGGTTACAGCAGCGGCAGCGGCGGTGGGGGTGGACACGGAGGTGGAGGTGGTGGCGGACACGGAGGTGGGGGATATGGCGGTGGACATGGAGGCGGAGGCCATGGAGGCGGTGGGCACGGAGGTGGAGGCCATGGAGGCGGTGGGCACGGAGGTGGAGGTGGTGGCGGACACGGAGGTGGGGGATATGGCGGTGGACATGGAGGCGGAGGCCATGGAGGCGGTGGGCACGGAGGTGGAGGCCATGGAGGCGGTGGGCACGGAGGTGGAGGTGGTGG